TGCCCCCGCCCCCAACTGCCCCCGACTCCCCCAGCTACCCCTGACTCCCCCAGCTAACACCAACTCCCCCAGCTGCCCCTGACTCCCCCAGCTGCACCTGACTCCCCTGGCTGCCCCTGGCTCCTCCAGCTATCCCCCGGCTCTACCTGACCCTGACCCCTTAGCTTCTCTGACTCCTCCAGCTGCTTCAGCAATTGCTGACACATCCCCTATAGAATGTCCTCTCTGGATGCAAGTGAAGCTGCCAGCCTGCTCTGAGGTCAGAACAGGTTGCCTGGATCCTGAGTGTGGAGCTTATGGCCCTGGGTCTGCAAGCTGAGCCCTGGAACCTGAGACATGACCAAGGGATGCACCTCCTACTCTTGTCCTCACACTGGAGCACATGCCACCCTCCAAGGCCACCTTTTGGCCATCCTGGCCCCTGGGACCTGGCTCACAGCATCGTAATCTCAGAACTCTCTGCACCCCCTAGTTAACCACGGTCGCTGGGTTAGTCACCAATCATTACTGTCTTCCCTGCTAGACTGTAGCTGCGGGAGAGCAGAGACCAAGTGCCTAGTGGAGCGGCTGCACATAGTAGGTGCTTTATAAGCAACTGTTGGCTGGCAGATAACTGAGCATCTCCAAAGGCTCCCCTCACTGGTCATGAGAAACAGACAGGGAGGGCCATGGTGGACAAGCCAGGTCAGCCCACCGCAGTGCCGCGCCTGCTGATCCCTGCCTTCACGCCCTCCCGCCTGGGCCCGTACCTGCCATGATGCTCTCCACCACAGAGACAAAGTACGCAGGCTTGCTGAAGGTGGGAGGGTTGTCATTTTCATCCTGCAAAGCAGACAGACAGGTTGTAGGAGCCAGGGCGGCAGTGGGGGCTGGCAGCTGTCCTGTGCTGGCATCAAACGGGCATGGCTGGCACGGAGGTACTCTGGCCCCGACGTATAACCAGAGCCAGGCAGGTGTCACAGGGGGCCAGGCGCCCCTTTGGCTAAGCTATGGTTCAAGGAGGTGGGACAGGCCTTGGGGAAACATGTGGGGGTCAGGAAGGGCCGGTGAGGACCGGGGAGATGGAGAAAGAAGGCAGCAGTCGGGACTCCCTACCACTCCCGGCCCCCTGGCTCTCCCGTCGGTCTTCCTGAGTAAGCCGAGCTCCAAGCTTACTCCAGTTCTCCCACTTTTAGCTCATCGCCCCCACGAAGGGGATGCCTACTCAGACTTTCTTCCTCAGCTCTGCCAAGGTGATGGTGGAAGGTTCTAGAAACCCTCCCAGCAATGAAGGGAGAAAGGAGCAGCCCAACCAGGAAGACACTGAGGAATGCAGGCAGGGGGTCAGGTGGGTTCCCGGCCTGAATTCCAGACCCCACTGCACATTCACAGGAGCACGGCTCCTCCGCCCCTGGCGCATCCTGGCCCAGAACCACCCCCTTCAGATCTGAAGCAACCCCTCCTCTGGCCCAGCCTCCACCAGTGGCAGGGGAGAGGGACAGTGGTGGGGCCCGGAGCAGCCTGTCTCCCGCTCCTCCACACGCATCTCCCTCCACCATCAGGGAGACATTCCTACCCTTTAAGACTCTCTCCCTCGCCCCCTGCCTTTCGCCATCACTCAACAAGAACTGGCCCCTGTTCCCATCTTGGAGGAAGCCTTGCTGCCCCCCATCCCCCGACTCGGGGCCTTCCCTGCTTTCCCCACGAGCCCAGCACGATGCAGGCCCCAAGGGCCTCACGTACCCCAGAACTGGGAGCTCCGAAGAGGGAGACTCCTCAGTAAACCCCCTTTGCTGGAAGCACTTCTGGCTGATCAAACGTGAACGTGAGGGAGGCATGATATGGGGCTGTCTGCCCCTCGGGACTTCAGAGAACCCCATCCTACCGGGACTGTGGGTGCCCGGATAGGGACACGCTTCTTTCCCAGTGCAGCCCTGGCTCTGGGCTGCACCCTGGCTGATGCTGATCTGCCCCCTCCCCAGTCTCAGCGGACTGGCTGTGGGAGGCCTCGCCACACATCCAATGCCTCAACAGCATGCCCGGTGTCCCCTGGCGCGGCACCGGTGCCCCATATGTGTGTCTATTTAAGCCTTCTGCTTGGCTGCACGGAACAGCGCTGAGAATGTCAGTGACAGAGCATGAGGCAGAAACTTATTAGCGGTGATATTTCCCCGGATCCTGGTGCTGCATTCGCTATTAGTTCTAATTCAGCGGCTCCCTCTACAAAAGCTTATTGTCCCCTAATGGGAAATCTACAAACCGAGTTTGACTTCTTTATTAAAAACCAACAAGCAGTGGATGAAAAGGAGTCACCTGGCCCCTCTCACCCGCCCCTCCTCCTTCCAGAACCCTGTCGCTGGGATCTGCCTTTCCCCACCCCCACCCAGTGCAGTCAGTGCTGCCGTCCATGGCCTGGTGGAGGGAGACGGCAGCTCAGACGAGTGACAGCTACTTAAAAACCACCCACGTGCAAAATTAACCCAAAGGCGGTGACCTTTTCAAGTGTGGTCCTTAGACTCAGTGACTACACATCCCAGAGTCCTGCTTGAGAGACGATGTTCACGCACAGCCAGGGTGGCCCCTGCCTCTGTTGCCAGACCCTCCTCCTGCCGGGGGTGGGGGTGGGGGATGGGGGGCCAGGGAAGCCCTGGAAGGAGAGTGTGGAGCCCCCTCTGACCCTCAGGACAGCTTGGAGGGAATATCACCAATAACACTGTAACAACTATGTCCGGTGTCAGGTGGGTACCAGACTTGGGGTAACCACTTTGCAAGTTGTGTATTAGCAGTTGTGCACTTCTAGTCGCCATGTTGCATACCTAAAACGTATATAATATTGTATGTCAACTGTAATGGAAAAACACAGTTTTAAAAAGAGTACCAGGACGTGGTTCTGACGGGCAGGGCATCATTCTAGTTGGTTGGTATAAGCCTTGGCATTTCAGGTGGGAGGTTGCAGGTTCAACGGGCAGGTGTTTAGGCTCCTGGGGATCTGTTCCCGCCCTCCCTGCCACTCCTGCAGCCCGACGTGCCAGAGATAAGGCCCCAGACGCTCTGCCCTTCCCTCTGCTGCACCCTCCATGCCACCCCTAAACCCTGCTCCATGCGCCCACTCTTGGCTTTTCCGTCACGGCCAGCCCCATCCTATTTCGTAAGCGAGTGGGGTCCCCTGCCCAGATGAGGACCTTTGCACTCGGCAGCTGGCCCTGGAGCCTCAGCCTCAGTTGCGAGGACGAAGCTAGGGGCAGGGCAGCACCAGGGGCTGCTGGCAAAGCCAGCTGGGACAGGGCGGTCATCCAGCAAGCCAGCTCTGGGCGAGGTGTCTTCCTGAGCATATGTCAAATCACAGCGTATCTCGTAACCTGACAATCTGATCTCATTCTCCTGGAATCAGTACGTGCTAACTCTTCCATCAACATGTTCGCCCTCCCCTGCAGGCAGCCGCCTCTATGAGATGGGGGCAGGTGTGTGTGCGTGCAGCCTTGGAGGGTCTCGGGGGGTGCGGTGGGGGGAAGGCCTATCGTCACCACCATCTCATCCCCCGGAGGCTGGGGGGCTGCACAGGGCCAATGAGCCAGTGCGGAGACGGATTCAGAGACTGATCACTTCAGACACTAAACCCACTAAGGTGTGCGTGATTTCCATGTCAGACAAGCTGTGGTTTGCTTTCAGGCCCCTTTAGATCCTCAGAGGAGCGGAAAAAGGAAGTGAAAAGAAAGAGAGGGGGAGAGAGACAGGAGAGGAGATGGCCTTCAGGAATTCCCTTGAACTTCACAGAATGTAGCTCTAGGCGAGGGATCCCATGACACTTCCTCCAGCTCCTGTTCCCCTGACAGGGTGTCCTGAGGCCCCAGACCTCCCTGCTAGGACAGCCTTTGGGATGGTCTGCCAGGTAAGCCCCTGAGCTGTGGGGACAGTCAAGGACTTGCGGACACAGGGCTCAGGAGGGGCCCCTGGAAGCCTGGGAAGCACTCACCACCCCTTACCCTGGAGGGCAAGGCCAGCGCCCCTGGGTACTTACAAACACCTCGATGGTGACAGGGACAGTGCTGTTCAGAGGGGGGTTGCCAGCGTCCTTGGCCATGACCGTCAGATAAATCAGTCCGTTGGGTATCTGCTCGTAATCCAGGGGGCGGCTCACACTGATGACTGAAATGACAGGAACAGGCCCAGGGCCCCTGTAAGCAGCCTTCAGTACCCATCCAGCCAGGGCTTCCCTCGGGGCAGGAGGGGGCAGCTGGCATGAACTCCTGGAGCCTCATGGTGTTGACTTAGGTTTACTGACTGCCTGATATGTGGCAGGCCCCATGCGAGGCCACCAGGTGTGGCTACTCTGGTGGTAATGTACGCCCCGCTTTACAGATGAAGGACCCAAGCTCAGAGAGGTTTAGTCACTTGCTCAGAGACACACAGCTAGGAACTCAATAGAGCCAGAATTCGAGCCCAGGTTTGTCTGAATCCGGAACCCAGGCTCTTTCCCAGAAAGTGTCATTCCTACTTGTCTTTCTGTCTGTCTCACCCACTCACCTGGCACTTATCTAGAGGTCAGGGTCATGCCCAAGCTCTCTAGTCCTGTCCCTGTTACTGCTCCTGATACCCTCCAGATAACGGGCTTGCCCCTTTACTGCCCAGTGTCGGGCTGCCAGGGGGTGGAGCAGATAGTGGGGTACAGGTGGCAGCTCCCTGTCTTTTCCTCTCATTGCCTTTCTCCCCATTTCTCTTCTCTCCCTCCCTCCTCTCATTACCATACAGGCTCTTCATGCCTCTCCAATAGCTGCTCTGGGCACTCTGTAGACCCCTTGGGGGACACTCAGTGTCTGTAGACCCCTTGGGGGACACTCAGTGTCTGTAGACCCCTTGGTTACCCTCCGCAGACTCTGCTAGAAGGTGGGTAAAGACCCCTAGCGCCAGAGGTGGACAGAGGTGGAGAGGCAGGCTCTGGGGGAGGGGGCGCTAAGACCTCACACATCCCCACCCTGCACAGCCTGAACTCTCACCACAGTCCCCTTTGGCGTGAACCCGCTGATGCTCGGTTTTGGATGGGAAGGCAAATTGGCTTGGGAGTGGGGGCCTGGGTAATCTGCAAAGGCACTGCAACAATATTAAATTGCCACTTTCTATTTGGAAAACAGAAATCAAATTATTACTCTAGTCATATAAAACCGAAGGGAGGTCCTTGCAGCCGAGGGGAAGGGGAGGTGAGAGGGTGGGCAGAGGCACGGCATTGTCACGTTTCTTAAAGGGGCACCGACTTGACAGAGAACGTCAGGGTCAGGCAGCAGCCTCTGCAGCCAGGGCTGTGATTTCATACAGGCTCTTCATGCCTCTCCAATAGCGGCTCTGGGCACTCTGTAGACCCCTTGGGGAGCACTCAGTGTCTGTAGACCCCTTGGGGGACACTCAGTGTATGGCATTGCAGAATTTACCCTCCGCAGACTCTGCTAGAAGGTGGGTAAAGACCCCTAGCGCCAGAGGTGGACAGAGGTGGAGAGGCAGGCTCTGGGGGAGGGGGCGCTAAGACCTCACACATCCCCACCCTACACAGCCTGAACTCTCACCACAAGTCCCCTTTGGCGTGAACCCACTGATGCTCAGTTTTGGATGGGAAGGCAAATTGGCTTGGGAGTGGGGGCCTGGGTAATCTGCAAAGGCACTGCAACAATATTAAATTGCCACTTTCTATTTGGAAAACAGAAATCAAATTATTACTCTAGTCATATAAAACCGAAGGGAGGTCCTTGCAGCCGAGGGGAAGGGGAGGTGAGAGGGTGGGCAGAGGCACGGCATTGTCACGTTTCTTAAAGGGGCACCGACTTGACAGAGAACGTCAGGCGGCAGCCTCTGCAGCCAGGGCTGTGATTTCTGTGCCTGCATTTCTCTGACCCCGCGGTGGGGTGCTAGGAGTGAGCACTGGACGTAGAGTCATCCAATGCGCGTCCCTTCTGCCTTGGGGGCAGCGAGCACATCTTCACGCATTAGGGACGCTTTTCAGAGAGGGGATGTCCACAGGAGGCCTTAGAGCAGCCAGCAGGGGAAGGGAGGCGGGGCAATGGGAGAGACGCGGCCAAGACAAGGCAGTGGCCACTGTCAAAGGAGAGCTCAGAGAGAGGGTTCCGAGCTGCCGGGTTCTGGTGGTGGGAGGGGAAGTGCCGAAGACAAGGCTGGAGAGGCAGCCAAGAGCTAGACCACAGGGCCCCCCGGACAGCTTTGCTGTGTGGCCTCGGGCAAGTGGCTCCCTGTCTCTGTGTCCCAGTTGCTTCATCTGAAAAAAAAGAGGTGGCCTCATGGGATCGTGGAGCTTGAGGTTGCTGCCACTCCTTTCACAGCCTCTAGGGATCAGGACTCACAGCGGGCAGGCAGGGCAGAGTCCAAAGTGTGGAACTGTGCCTGGGCCAGGCAGGGTCCTCAGAGGTGGGGGGGGGGGGGCCTGGGCCTGGGCCAGGCAGGGTCCTCAGAAGGGTGGGGGCAGTCGCAGAAAGCTCACAGGATGGGGAAGCTTGACTAACGAGTCTCCACCCCACAGGTCTACCCGGACAGCCTTGCGGAGATATAGGGACTCCTCAGATTGTGGGAACATCAGCCGCCTGGCTGGCCATGGGCCTACGACCCCGAGAAAAACCTGGCCCGTCTGAGACAGAGATCTTGACCCATGGAAGGGTGGCCGCGTGCCACGTGCTGCTCCAGCCAACAGGAGCTACGGGGAAGCTCCCTGAATGCTCCGGCGTGTCTGAGAGTCAGAGAGCCCCCTTCTGAGGCAGGTGTGAGTGCGAAACGCAGCTCCCGCCTGCCAGCCCTCCTCCTGGCTGGACCCCTAGTCCTGCCCCCTGTACCTGCATAGCCTTCATACACGCTGATGTCGAAGTAGCTGCCAAAGGCGGAGGCGTTGACGATGCTGTAGGTAATCTGGTTGTTGGGAGGGGAGTCTTCGTCTGTTGCCTGGAAGGAAGAGGATGGACAGAGCCCTGTGAGCCAGAGGAGGGTGGGTGGGAGGAGGGCTGGTCCCTCTCAGCGCCCCCTTTCTGGGTGATCAGACCCTCCTGGCCTTGCAGCTGGAGGCTACAGCAGACACGTCTCATGTTGAGTGAGGAGCTATCCTGGGGAATCTGGAGGGCAGGCTGGAGGCCTCGGGAGAAGTGGGCAAGGCCAGGGGACAGAGAGGGTCTCCACCACACCTGGCAGGACCACCTCCAGCCCATTCCGTCCCAGCTTGCACATCCCACCCATGGAGGCCTTCCCTGACCTCAGGACTGGGTTAGGGCCCTGTGCTGTGCACCCCATCGGTTCCCCCGACTTCTTGTATAATTTCTGCCTGCCTTGCTCAGACTGTTAGCTCCTGGCGAGCAGGAACCTGTGTTTCTTGATTGCAGCTGCATACCTAGAGTCCAGCATGGTGTTTGCACACAGTAGGTATCTAATAAATGCATGTTGCATGAATGCAAGGAGGGAAGAAGGCACTTGGGATGGGGTCAGATCCTTCTCCCCCTGGACTGTCTCCAGGGGTGGCTGATGTGGGGTGGCTGATGAGCAGTCTGACTGAAGAGAGCCTAAGGGTGGCCCGCCACCCTGGGCGCAACAGGAGCGGAGTGGGGAGGGAAGAGGGAGAGCAGGGCCCCACAGGGAGCATGGCCCATGCTGGGAGGGCACATGGTCCTGCCTTCTGTATGCTCCTTGCCCACCTCCTCCCCCTCGTTACAGAAACGAGTTCTAAGTGGAGGTCCTGGTCCTGTCACTCTGGGTGGGCAGAGGGAGGAAGGGGCGTGAGGACACCAAGCAGCTTCACGGGCAGAGGTCGCTGGAGCCTGCTGGGGACGCGCTGCAGGAGGACACCTGGAGTGTAGAGTCCCGAGTTCTAGTCCGGCCTCTACTCCTCTGCTAATTCACTGTGCCTTCGGGGGTTCCCTCTTCCCACCTGCTCCCTTCCTGTGAGGTGGCTGTGCCCAGGGCCTCTGGTCCCTGCCAGCTACAGCGCTTCCTGATTCTCAGCAGCCTCTAAAGGGCACAGATGGGGGGGTCCTCACACAAGAAACTGCTCGCACTTGCCAAGGGAGATGAAGGAGGCGGCCTTTTGCTGAATGGCGACCTGAAATCTAAGCTGAGGCAGGCACTAGCTGCACTTGGTAACCAAGGCCATGAGGGGACGTCCTCACACAGACCAAGAACGTGACCCCCAAATCCGGTAGACTTCTTTGTGATGGAGGTTAGCAGCTCTCGCAGTGGCTTCCCAGGGGAATCGCCAAGAAGAGGGTACAGGCCGAGGATAAGATGAATGGCCCGACTGCAGGAAAGCCTGGCGCCTTACCCGGAGCCGCACCAGCTGTGTGACGGAAGGCTCATTCTCTCGCAGGGCACCCACGTAGGCATCCTTCTGGAAGGTGGGCACATTGTCGTTGACGTCCAACACGTTGATCCGGACCCGGCCTGTGGTCTCCTCCCCGCCCCCATCCCGGGCGATGACCGTCAAGGTGAAGCGCTGGATGAGCTCGTAGTCCAGTTTGGCGATCAGCATGATAAGTCCCGTGTCCTTGTCCAGAGAGAACCTGGGCCGGGCAGGAAGGAGGATGAGAGAACAGCTTGGTGTAAAGCAGCTTGTAGACAGGGCCTGCACTTACCAGCCTGTCCTCGCCCAAGGCGATAAACAGACACAAATAGTTGAAGTCTGAAATCCGCCTTTTTAACGTGCCCTCAATAAGAAGAGCATCTATTTGTAACGGGGAGTCGGGTGGGAGGTGGTGGGCAGGAATCAGGACCACCTGGGAGGTGACGTGTCAGGTACTGAAAGGGCGGGAGTAGGTGGATTTACTCAAAGAGGAAACTCGGGAAGAATGACCCTCCTTTGCTGCAAACAGGACTTTCTGCCTCCCGGACAGTCAGATGTGGAGAACTGTAATGGTCAGAGATTCTTGTAACTGACACCACACAAATACAAGGGTCATAAGAGACCAGTATGAATAATTATGTGCCAATAAATTGGACAACCTAGAAGAAATGGATAAATTCCTAGATACATACAACTTACCAAGACTGAATCAAGAAACAGAAAATCTATAAAAAAAAGAAACAAACAAAAAAAGAAACAGAAAATCTGAAAAAATAGCTACTAATGAAATCGAATCAGTAATCACAAATCTCTCAACAAACAAAAGTGAAGGACCAGACAGCTTCACTGATACATTCTACCAAACACTCAGAGATGAATTAATACCAATCTTTCTCAAACTCTCAAAAACAGAAGAGGAGGGAACACTTACAAACTCATGTTATGAGGCCAGCATTAACCTGATACCAAAACCAGACAAGGACACTAACAGAAAAATAAGTTACAGGCCAATATTCCTGATGAACATAGATGCAAAAATCCTCAACGAAATATTAGCCAACCCAATTCAATTAAAGGGATCACACACCATGCTCATGTAGGATTTCCTTCAGAGATATGAGAATGTGATACCCACAGATCACGGGTGTGATATTCATTAACAGGATACAACATTAAAGGATAAAAATCATATGATCATCTCAATTGATGCAGAAAAAGCATTTGACAAAATTCAAGATCCTTTTATTATAAAAAAAACTTTCAACAAACTGGGTACAGAGGGAATGTATCTCAATATAATACAAGCCATAGATGACAAGCCCACAGCTAACATCATACTTAATGGTAAAAAGCTGAAAGCTTTTCCTCTAAGATAAGGAACAAGACAAAGATACCTACTCTCATCACCTTTATTCAACTTAGTTTTGAAAGTCCTAGCCACAGCAATTAGGCAAGAAAGAAAAAGTCATCCAAATCAGAAAGGAAAAAGTAAAACTGTCACTATTTGCAGAAGATGTGGTACCATATATAGAAAGCACTAAAGATTCCACCAAAAAACTATTGGAACTAATAAATGAATTAAGTAAAGTTGCAGGATACAAAACCAATATATAAAAATCTTGTGCATTTCTATACACAAATAAGGAACTGTCAAAAAGAGAAATTAAGAAAACAATCCCATTTACAATCGCATAAAATAAGATACCTAGGAATAAATTTAACCAAGGAAGTGAAAGTCTATACACTGAAAACTATAAGATACCGATTAAAGACACTGAAGATGACAAAGAAATGGAAAGCTATTAAAGACACTGAAGATGGCAAAGAAATGGAAAGCTATTCTGTGCTCATGGGTTGGAAGAATTAATATTATTAAAATGTCCATATTATCCAAAGCAACCTACAGATTCAATGCAATCCCTCTCAAAATTCCAATGGCATGTTTCACAGAAATAGAACAAATAATCCTAAAATTTGAATGGAACCACAAAAGACCTCAAACAACCAAAGCAATCTTGAGAAAGAACAACGAAGCTGGAGGCATCATGCTCCCTGAGTTCAAACTATATTACAAAGCCATAGTAATCAGTACAGTATGATATTGGCATAAAAACAGACACGTAGATCAATGGAACAGAATAGAGTCCAGAAATAAACCCACACATATGTGGTCAATTAATTTATGACAAAGAAGCCAAGAATGCATAATGAAGAAAGGGTAGTCTCTTCAATAAATGGTGTTGGGGAAACTGGACAGCCATATGCAGAAGGATAAAACCGAACCACTGTCAAAATAAATAAACATGGGGATGCAATGTACAGCAATGTATATGCAAAGACTATAGCTAATAATGTTGTATTGCATATTCCAATGTTGCTAAGAGAGTAGATCTTAAAAGTTCTCACCTCAAGAAAAAAATGGATAACTATACATGTTAACAAATGTGAACTAGACTTATTGTGGTGATCATTTCACAACACACACAAGTATAAATCATTATGCTGTGCACCTGAAACAAATACCATATTTATGTCAATTATATCTCAATAAAAACACACACATATCTGGGCAATAAAACAAATTTTGCCATCCAGAGGGTGCTGAACCAAAATGTTTTAAACACCCAGCCAGGATAGTGAGTTTGGTCCTCTCTCAGGAGTTACCCCTCATCTTCTGCTCGAGGGACTGAGCCTCACAAATGTCTCCTGGGTCTACCTGGATCCAGGTCTACCTGGCTCCTCTCAACACCTCCTCAGGTGCCCCCAGGAGTCATCAGCTGACATTTGTGTGCCCTGACCTGTTCCACGCCTGCCAGCCAACAGGCCTGGAAGATCCTGGCTCAGAGACCAGGAAAGCCCTGGCCCAGAAGATGGGAGGCGATGAGGACACCCAAGATGACCAGGATAAGGCCCCCTGAACACAGATCCCTGAGGGACTGGGTGCCCTGTGCGCCGGTCCCGCTGCTCATTCCTTCCTCCCATTTTGAGGCCCCATCTCCACGGCAGAGAACGGCCGGAATGCACCCAACAATCCTTCTCTTCCTGGTCATTTACAGCCGGGCCCGTAATCCAGGCTGACAGCCAGCGCTGCCCTCATCCTGTTGGGCTTCCCGATGCATCAGACACTTCGGCTTCAGAAGCAGACCTGCCCTCTGAATTCAACTTGGCTCTCGATCACGTTAAAAACGAGAGCTGCTCCCGGCTCAGCTTAACCACAGACAAGAGAGAGAGAGATGCCCAGAAGCATGGCGGGTGACAGGGCGAGGCTGGCGTGGGTCGGGCCGTGAGGCGGGCACCTGCCTAATGGCTGCAGCATATCCCCCTCCCCCCGCCCCCCGCAGGCTGTGCCTCTGTGGTGAGACCACACGCGAGGCCTGGCCCTACGTGCCGTGTGCTGGCCGAGCTGCAGCCTCTGAGCAAGTGACTTAGCCCCTCTGGGCTGCGGTTCCCTCATCCGTGAAGTAGGGTGATAGGAGTGCCGAGCACTGAGCTCCAGCATTTAGCTTTGAGAGTTACATCTGAAAACGCACGCGAAGCACTTGGCAAAATCCCTGACACACGGTGAGGGCTTCTAAAGCGCTGGCCGCCGCCGCCACTGTGCTCTCATGAGCTTCGAAACTGCTTCCAACGCTTTGAAACGCTGTCTTTTGAGGGTCAGAGAAACTGCCCCGGAGACCTCAGGGGACTTGAGCAAGACTGTACCGCATCAGGGTCCAACCAGCAGCAGTGCCCTTGGGTTCCCGCTCCCAGCCCGGGGCTCAAGCCATGGGTCGTAGCCCCTCCCGGGCACTGAGAAGTTTCCCATCACAGGAGTGGCAGAGGGCCACCGGGAAGGAGCGGGGCAGGGTCTCACCGGTCCGGGTCATCGCTGAAGAAGTAGTTGACTTCCCCGAAGGTGCCCACGTCATTGTCCGTTGCCTGCAAAGGTGAGAACAACAAGTCGTCACTGCCAGGCCCGGCTGAGGCCCCGACCCCACCAGGAGCTATCCACAGCAAGCCTTGGTCCTCCCGCACGACTCCTCTGGCCCACGCCAAGCTTTCTAGAGCCACGAAGGTCAACATGGTTGCCCCAGTCACAAACAGCTATTTAAATGTATACGGGAGAGCAGGGTTCTGGAAGTTCCATCTTTTACCGAAATCCCTAACTTTGTGAAACCACCCCTCCTGCTTCATGTCAGGCCGGGCAGGCTTATTCTTTGCAGATCTTAGGAGCTTGGTGTCATGACCTGTCAGTTTGAGAAATATCACAAATGAAGGGGGCGCGCGGGGGGGGAGGGGGTGTCAGCATCTGCTGGATTCTCCAGTTTTTCTCCCGTCTCTAAAGATGCCAAGTCAGATGCGCTGCCCAGTGAAAGAGGCACCTGAGGGGCATTTCTGGTGCCCCTCCTTGAACCCCAGGAATAATCCATCGCATGCGTAGGGCAGGCTGTCATCTGACTGGCAACCTCTTCCACTGCAAACACCCTCTTTTCTCCCCACCCATCTTCTCTGGCACCTCTCTCTGCCTGAACAAGTGGTCTGAGTGGGAGCTGCCTGCTCTGCCCATGACCACAGGACTGGGCTGGGAGTGGCCCCCGACTGCAGCTGGCCAATCAGAATCCTTCCCTGGGATTCTTTAAATGGTTGCCGGGGGTAGAAGTTTTCCTCCAAAGCAGTGAAGCTGGACCAGAGTGAACTGGGGGCGGTTGGGTGGTTGGGGAGGATGAAGGTGCCCCCAGGGGAGAGCTGGAAGACAGGGGCTGGGTCCTGGTACTTCTCGGGTCCTGGGGGTTACATCCCTTCCCACCGCAGTTTGGTCTGTGAGTCCAACAAGACCTGTTTTACCCAGGCTAACCCAACAGCTTTCTATCACAAGTAGTGGAAAGAGCCTGGAGGGAGAGAGGCGCACCTTATGCTGATGACAAGAGCGAGCATGGTGACCCTGCCAGCCTGTGCTATCATACCTTTTACATTTTCAAAGACCATCCATGTTTATCCTCACAACGTGATGAGGAAGACAGACATTTCCACCCATCTCACAGATCACAAAACTGAGGTCTAGGCCCCAGTGAGGCCCAGAGTAAACCTCTTCATGACAATCCTATTAGGGACAGGGAAACCGAGGCACAGAGAAGGCAAATGGCTCACCCAAGGCTTCACAGCTATAAAAGGGAGCAGAGTAAGGATTTGCATCCAGGGCCGCCTTGCCGTGCTCCGAGTCTCGGTGTGTTATTGCTTCTGGCCCTCAGAAGCAGAGGCACTGGTTCTTCCAGGGGAGAGGAGACCAAAGCCCCTCCCAACAGCCGGCCTCTCTCCCCCACTTCCAGGGGCTGGAGGGGCAGGGGAGGGGAGGAGCCCGTGTTCCCTTCCATCCCACTGACATATAACCTCACCCTGTTTGGTATTATTAGACCAGAATCACTGCAGCTCGGCCTGGGGAACAGCTGGCCAGCTGCCATCGAGCCCACGCCGAGGGGTCAATGTGCAGAGAGCCCCGTTCCAGGCCAGTGTCAACAGCCCAGGTCACCGTGTGACCAAACAGCAACCCCAGGGGCCTCAGCATCCTCGTTTGTCAAAGGAAAGTGTCTGTGGCCATGAGGTCAGGGCCACAGCTGCCAGGCTCACCTTCCGGCACGGACGATGCCTGCACACAGCAGCGCTTCGCGATGCTGGGAAATGGATGATTAAATACGAGTAAGAAGCGAGGGGTGAGGGGAAGGGAGTTGGTGGAGAGATGGGGGCAAAGACAAGGAGGAGAGAGGTTTCAAAGGGAAAGAGAGGAATGGAGCAGGAAGGGTGAAGAGACGGGGGCCAGGGAAAGGCAGGGAGAGTGGCCAGGAAGCAGGAAGGGGATCGGGGAGGTAGAGAGGGCTGGGCTCGTGCAGGAAGTGAGGGGCCTGGGGCACCTGAAAGCCACACAGGGACCCTAGGTGACCTCCAGACTTGCACTTGGACTGTCAGGGTGGGGAGGACCCCCGAGGTCCCCTTGTACAGTACCCTTCACCCTGGCACCCGGAGCAGCTGAGGCGGAGGGAGATTCAGTGTTGAGCCCCTGGGGACAGATAGAGCTGCCATTCTCCTGCCCCCTCCACCCCCCAGGTGGGCCGGGCACAATGGCTCGCACAATGACCCCTTTCCCTGGGGGCCTCTCGCCGCCCGCCCAGGCCGCCCATGCTGACCAGGAAGATTTGTGAGTCCTTTACTGCCACTGTCTAATGACCGTATGAAATATGTATGCGTGGTGAAGGGGAGAGGGAGAACTTTCATTTTTCAAATGCATGAAGCAGAATAATAAGATGGAAAACTGCATCTGTGCCCCTGCCAGGGTGGGGGCAGCCAGCAGAGAGGGCCTCCCTAGGGCCAGTGCCAGGCTGCAGTGGGGCCCGGTGAGGGGCCCTGCTCCCTGTGCCCGGGAGGAGGCAGCAAATCCAACCACTCGGCAGTCCTCCCTGGTGCCCTCAGGGGGCAGCCCCTCCTCTTCTGCCTGCCTTCCAGCCCCACACTCCAGCCTTTGCTGCGGGCTCCAGCCTCCTCTCGGACCCAGGCTGGACCTGACTGGCCCCATCTGCGTAGGCTGCTTCCTCCCTCCGCCTGGCTTCCCCGCTCCTGTCTTCCCTGCCCCAAGGTTGTTTCGGGCTCTGCAATATTCCCAGCCCTGACTGCACGTGGGAGCTGAAGCTGTGCGCTGATGTGTTTCTCACCCTGCTAAGCGGTGGCTCCCTGAGAGTGGGGCAGGGCGGGGTCAGGGGGCCTGGACATAACAGCAGCTCAGGAAAGCTCCTGGTAGCTGTCCTCTGTCGCTACATTGGCACCCACACCCACCTAACAGTATCAGTGTGTACATTTCAGTTTGGACCACACCACCATGAGGAGGTACCATTATAACGCCTGCTCTCTGCCTTTAACACACAGATGAACGAAAGATGATGTTAAGGAACTTGCCCAAATCTCACGACTGATAGGCAAGTGCAGAGCTGGCCTCCACGCCCTTTGTTTTAGACCAGTGGTTCTCAACCTTCCTAATGCTGCAACCCTTTAATACAGTTCCTCATGTTGTGGTGACCCCCAACCATAAAATTATTTTCGTTGCTACTTCATAACTGTAATTTTGCTACTGTTATGAATCGTCATGTAAATATCTGGTATGCAGGATGTATTTTCATTGTTACAAATTGAACATAATTAAAGCATAGTGATTAATCACAAAACCAATATGTAATTATATATGTGTTTCCCGATGGTCTTAGGCGACCCCTGTGAAAGGGTCGTTCGACCCCCCAAAGGGGTCGCGACCCACAGGTTGAGAACCGCTGTAACCAACCAGCACTGTGGGATAGACAGCCCCAGGCCCGTCAGTCCCATGGCAGAGGCCTCAGCAGCTCTGCAATGCCAGCCGGTCCAGCAGAGGGCGCTGTCGGGGCCAGTGACAGGCTCCCCCCGCAGCCCCACGCAGGTGCCATGGCACCTTTTAAAACAATCTCCTTCCCAAGGCTGGCTATAGGCCTGAGCAACGGAAAGACCAACAGACAAATCAAGTGCCAGACAGACAGTGGCCCTCATGCCCACTTCAGAAAGGAGGGTCCGAGGAGTGGCCAGGGGCCTGTGCATAGAGAACAGAGGTCCTTTCCGCGTCATGAACACCTTTGCCCTCCCGCCACGTTCCAGGATGAGCAGTCCATCTCCTGGCAGGGTGGCCTCCAGGCTCTTGCAGGCCAGTCAGATGGCTACCGGGGTACGGGATGGGGGGCCAGCTGGCAGGCTGGGTGGCTCCCATATTGTACCTGGCAACACTAAGAAATGACAGACCGGGTGCAGGTGAGCACCTCAAGCGGCTGCAGGCCCTCCCGCTGGTGCCTCTGTGCCCACCACTGCCCTCCCAGGGCTGGACTCTCACCCACGGTTGCACACTGGTATGTCGAACTACTTGCCAAGACTTTCAGAGGCGGCCCAGGGCGAGAAGTCAAAACCAATAGCTAAAACCTCCAGTGCTCCCCCTGCTGCTGAGTCAATCCCAGCCGGGCCCCTGGTGTCCAGGCGCTGCACGGCCACTGGCCTGGTGGTCTTGCGCTCACTTCTCCCGATGCACCTGGACTCTTCTTTCACTGCCTGGTTGCGCCATCCCTTCATTCCGTAACTGCTGTCCAAGCTCCGCCCCCCCACCTCCCCCAAATGCTGTGCAAGCGCCTGACCACTCACCGTTCTCACGCTGAGCCCCTCGCGGTACCGGTTCGGAACACGCAGCACGATCTGCTATTCCTGAAAGCTGCCTGCGTATGCTGTCCCCTCCCCTTGCAGAGAAGCCCATACCCTGTAACTGCTGTCCAAGCTCCGCCCCCTGCCCCCCACCCCCAAATGCTGTGCAAGCGCCTGACCGCTCACTGTTCTCACGCTGAGCCCCTCGCGGTACCTGTTCTGAACACGCAGCACGATCTGCTATTCCTGAAAGCTGCCCGCGTATGCTGTCCCCTCCCCTTGCAGAGAAGCCCATACCTAACTCCTTTTTGTATCCTCCCTTGTGCCCGGCACAGGGCTCAGGCACTGGGCTCAAAATCTTTGCCAAATCCAGTAAGACCTGGAACTTCCGTGGTCAGCTACGGAGCGCCAGCCTGATCCTCCTCCTGGCGGCTGAGCCCCTATCAGCAGACACCACGGTGGGCACTGAGCAGCCAGAGTGGGGCTGCTGTGCTGCCCAGGACGCATGGCTGGGGTTCGCAAAGCCTCTCCAACAGGTCCCCCAGGCTCAAGCTGCCCTCCGAGCGCCCTTCTGGCCAAACCTCCGCGGCAGAGGAGGGCAGGGACTCACCGAACGGCCCAGGCAGTTGCCTATGGGGCACAAGCAGAGTGGGTGAGAAGGGCAGGTGGAGGGTATTGGAACCCCATGGGGAAAACTTTCAGGAAGACAGGGGCCAGACTCTCACTCAGTCACATATTCAGCAAGT